TTTTAATCCTTTAGATTATCTTCATTTACAAATATCTTTTGTTGCTTTAATTACTTGTAATTTACACTGTCTCTTTTTATTTTTAGGTGACATAATCAAATTAAATATGTGTATTTTGACAATAAATGTGACCATACTCCAGCCACCCCTTCACACACCCCGGGTTCTGAAATGCATCTCTGATGTGGTCACAGTAATTTTTTGTTTTACTGACTTGCATTTGCACTACAATGTTTAGGGAGCCGCCTATCATAATGCTTCCTTTAATATGTTGTCCCACACAGCACTGTTTTACATGATGTAAATGTGTTATACAAACAAGCTTCCATGGTCAAATGATTTTTGGGAAATGCAGAGTTAAGCAGAGTTACACAGGTTTCCTTATGGTTGTCTTTGTGGGGGGTCTGTCAGCACTGTGACTGTCTGAGAGCTGGAGTCAAAGAGGACAAACTTTTTTGGTCTCGGCGTCTGATAGGACTGATATTTCTTTTTTTTTTTTGACATGGAGTCTTGCTTTGTTGCCCAGGCTGAAGTGCAGTGGCATGATCTCTGCTCACCACAACCTCCGCCTCCCAGGTTCAAGTGATTCTACTGCCTCAGCCTCCTGAGTAGCTGGATTACAGGTGCGCACCACCACGCCGGGCTAATTTTTGTATTTTTAGTAGAGATGGGGTTTCACCATGTTGGTCAGGCTGGTCTTGAACTCTCGGCCTCAGGTGATCCGCCTGCCTCGGCCTCCCAAAGTGCTGGGATTACAGGCATGAGCCACCGCGCCCAATCTAGGACCCATATTTCTAATGTTGCAGTGGAAATATTTTGGGAAAAATTGAGCTACTGTGATTTTTGCATTATTACTTTGTGTAGGTGGAAATGGCTCATTGTTTCTCAAGGTTTCTAACATGGCATGTTGCTGCGTTGTTCCCTTTAGTTTTGCAATAACTGAGTGCAGTCACTGGAGAGAGTCCAGGATGGCCTGGTTGAGACATTGAAGATTTAGGAATGCATTGATTGATTGATTGATTGAGACAGGATCTTTCTCTGTCACCCAGGCAGGAGTGCAGTGGCGCAATTACTGGCTCACTCCAGCCTCAACCTCCTGGGTTCAATTGATCCTTCTTCCTCAGCCTTCCGTGTAGCTGGGATTACAGGTGCAAGGCACCACACCTGGCTAATTTTAAAATTTTTTGTAGAGACAGGGTCTCACTATGTTGCCCATGGTGGTCTTGAACTCCTGGCTCAAGTGATTCTCCTGCCTTGGCCTCTGAAAGTGTTGGGATTACAGGCATGAGCCACTGTGCCTGGCCAAGGAATGCTTTTAAACTGCTGTCTGATTCCTGATAGGAGGAAGATACTATCACTGATTGAAAGGGAATATCCCTGATAAAGTTCTCAGTTACACCTATGTGCACAAATCATGGTCCAATTGTGAGTTGTTTTAGAAAACAGATGCAGGGTACGTAAAGGAGTGGGGCAGGACAGGCTCCAACTGCGTAACTGGCGTGAAAGGAACAAGGGGCCAGGGGACGTGAACTCCTAGGCCTAGGACTCCAGTCAGCCCACTGGAAGTCAGGTGAGTTATGAATATTGCTCATGTGCCTGCTGAACATGTGTGGGAGAGTTTCATTCGAGGGAGACAGAATCCAGGAGGAGACTTTTGTCTGTGAACTTGGGCTGGTGTGCAGCCTTTCTCCTGAAGCCTGATGGAATTAAGCTTTGAACAATTCGGCAGATTCTCACTTGTCATTGTGGGGCTTGTTTGTAGCTGGGGTGTGGAGACTGCTTTTATGCTAAATCATTCCTGTCACGCGCTCTCAAGTGAAGCAGTCTACGGTATAAGCCTTGCTGACATTTGTGTAGAGTGGCTCTGCCCCTGGTGAGAAGAGTGCAGCAGCTTCACGTGTTTGCTGCTCCTGAACCTTTGATCTTTGTTGACAGTGATGCTGGGAGAAGAGGATGATATGTCGTATTTCAAAAGGATCAGAACTAAAGCATAAACCTTTAAAAAGGAAGGTCCAGGAGTCAGATAGATTTAGGTTAATCACTACCACCTACTTCTAGCTAGGAGAATTAATATTTTCATTTGTTCATTTGGGAATAACATTACCCATTTTATAGGATTGTTTAGAATAAATGTAGCATACAAGTGTGTATAGTGTAATGAGGTAGCATATGGTATAACACTTCGCCTTAATGATAACTAGGTGTGTTTTTGGTCTAAGTATATGAGACAGACCTGGTGCTCTTCAGAAGAGCCTTTGTGGAGCCTGTTTTTGGAGTCAGCTAACTAGTTTAATAGTAGAGAACAAAAATTGGTGAAAGAATTTTGAAGCAATAAGATTTATCTCTCTTTGTTGGTTATTCTTAATATTTGTACAACTGCTGAATTGAAATTATGAGACTTTTTATTTTAGCAAAAGAAATTACTTTTCAGCAACTTTGCCTTGCTGAGAAGAAACTGCTGCAAATATGCTATTTGTCCATTAACGGGGAGAACTTCAGTAGTGAACTTAAACACATTTTATTAAATATCACTTCTGATATGCTTGACTTGTTTTTGGGAGACTTTCCAGTAAGATTTGCTAGAGAATAGTGGTGATATTTATTATATCAGTTCTAAGAATTAAATTTTATTTTATAAAAGTTTATTTTCATTTAGCTTATTTACTGCTCCGAGCAACTCTAGGAGGGTGCAGGAACCCTTGTGTTTCCATGAAGAAAGACTTGATGCTCAGAAAAGCTCTGTGACTTTCTCCTCAGTGACCTGCAGAGCTGGGGTTATAATCTAGGTCTTTTTGTCCAGCACTATTTGATCTCTACACTCTTCCCCTTATACCATGGGTCTAGGATGTCAAGGGATTCAACCTTGGTTATTTTTAAAAGATAGTGGCAGTCAGAAATAAAACTTAGATGTCTCTGTGTGTAGAACTTTTAGAGAAATAGTTTGTGTCTAAATTTGCAAGCTCATTCAGTTTAAAAATGGTTCCTATAATATGGTGCTCATTTATTACTTCAGATTCATTGCTTCAGTAATGACTTTTAAATAGAACTCTATTATTAGGGTGATTGGACTGAAGTCTGATTGGACTAGAGTTAAAAGATTGCATCACTATAAATAGAGTGAGATAAAATATTTTACATAATGTGATTGAAGTTTTATGAGGTCTCAAAAGTTGGAACCTAGGATCTTCTCTAAACGGATACTTTGACCAGTTTCAAATAACAAGCTTCTCAGCGTGCGGCTTAAGTTGTAGACAGAGTGGCTACTTAAGATAATTTGGGAATTAAATTATGTCCTTTGGCATGTTCAATTATGTTACCTGAGTCAGAGTTTCATTAGCTGCTTCATCAATAGTTTTTTAACACCAAAGCTTTAGAAAGTAAGATTAGCACACTAATTAGAAAATCATTTAAAGACCAAAATGAAAATAGAACAACTCTAAAAGCTTTTAGTGTATTCAGGAAATGTTAGAAGTGGTCGTATGTGAAGCCATTGGTATAGTTGTTGGAGAGGACAACCTTTGGTAGACATAGATGAATTTAATACCCTTCTTTTAGTTTTTATTTTTAAAATAGACATGGGGTCTCGCCATGTTGCCCAGGCTGGTCTTGAGCTCCTAGGCTCAAGTGATCTGCTTTCCTCAGCCTCCCAAAGTGCTGGAATTACAGGCATGAGCCACTGTACCCGGCCAATGCCCTTCTCTAATAGTGCATTAGCACGAAAAGGTTGGAATGGCTTTAAAGGCATTTCAGTTTCCCCGTGATTACATAGGAATGTGCCTAGTCTCTGTTATTTAGAATTTGATAAAAATATATGGGAGAAATGTATAGTTTGTAAAAACTTCTAAGCAGTTGTGAACTGTAGTGAATTCATAAGTGATTGGCTGGGTGCAGTGGCTCACGCTTGTAATCCCAGCACTTTGGGAGGCCGAGGCGGGTGGGTCACTTGAGGCCAGGAGTTCAACACCAGCCTAGGCAACATGGTGAAACTCCTGTCTCTACTAAAAATATAAAACATTAGCTGGGTGTGGTGGCCTGCACCTGTAGTTCCAGCTGTGTGGGAGGCTGAGGCATGAGAATTGGTCAAACCTGGGAGGTAGAGGTTGCAGTGAGCCAAGATTGCACCACTGCACTCCAGCCTGGGCGACAGAGTGAGACTCTGTCTCGGGGGAGGAAAAAAGATTGTTAAGTTCTAATCAAACCAGAATCTTTTCCTATCACCTTAACTCTTATAGTAGTGACTCTAACCTTCCCTTGCTCTGCCATCACCATCTGTATTGGGTTACTGTTATAAAACTACATTATTCCAGCAATTTTACCAAAGTTTGGATAAGTATTTTTAGTAGGCATTATGTGTTTAAATTTTTCCACTAACGTAAGAGGTTAATATTTAGTTGAAGCATTAGTAGAAGCACAGTGATCAGTGGATACTGCCAAAAGTTTTCCCAATAATTAGAGTGGAATTTTGAGGAAACAGTGTATTACATGCTAAGATTGAATGGATGGGGATGGGAGAAGGATAACAGAAGACATATTTTGCTATTGGTTTCTTGATGTGATATGTGATGGTGAATATTACCTCTAAACTAATGTGCAAAAAAAATCTCAAGAAAACCCAAATCTAAAAACCCCCAAAACAAAAAAGTGTGCCAAAGAGGGAAAGCCCATGCCAGATCATCTGCTTTGAATCAATAATTTTTTGCTGACAGCCAACTGGGGAGTGGGGCTGTAACTTTCATTTCCAATTGGTATCAGGAAGCTATTTGTTATAAATTTCTACCAAATAGTTATATGGAACCCCATTATGCTGGTAGTAATCTTTGACTAATAATAATGGATATATGTATGTGGCTCTTGAATAGGGATTGTTTTATTTTTCAATTTTCAGTGAATTAGAATATACAGTGTAATAATTTTGGTGGATAGTGGTTTGATTAGTAAATGCTATCTTTCATGGTTTGGTAAGATTTGATTTTTCTCTCTTTTTTTCTCTGTCATTCCAGGGTGTGGATGAATGGAACATAGCTCGCCTGAATACAGTCTTGGATGTGGTTGAAGAAGAGTGTGGCATTTCTATTGAGGGTGTAAATACCCCGTATCTATATTTTGGCATGTGGAAGACCACGTTCGCATGGCACACCGAGGACATGGACCTCTATAGCATTAATTATCTCCACTTTGGAGAGCCCAAGTCTTGGCAAGTTACTCGTTTAATATTCATTTGCTTTGGAGTTTTGAAATTTGGGCATGAGGCACATATTGAAGAGGATTTTGTTCTTTGATTTGGTGGATTCAGATTTATGTGAGCTGTAAGGAAGTTTTTGACCGTAATAATTAATTGTCTTCTATTCTGTCTGGGATTGTGCTTGGGAACCATAAACCCCGTGGTAATTTGTACAGTCATGCACTGTATAACAACGTTTAGATCAATGATGGACCGCATATACAGTGGTCATCCTGAGTTTACAGTGCAATTGGAAAACTCCTTTTCCATGTTTAGATATGTTTAGCTACATAAATACTTTGTAGATAAGTACTTCATGTTAAAATTGCCTACAATATTTAGTACAGTACAGATTTGTATCCTAGAAGCAATAAGCTATGCCATATAGCCTAGGTCTGTAGTAGATCCACCATCTAGATTTGTGTAAGTCCACTCCATGATGTTCACACAATGGCGAAATTGCCTTACAACATATTTCTCAGAAAGTATCTCTGTTATTAAGTGATACATGACTGTATATGTAAAGTTGCCTGTAGTCCATTTTGTGAGCTATGAGTTGGTAGATAATTTAGGCTCCAAGAATTTGTTAGGCGTCTTTACTTCTTTGAGCATTTGTTGGATTATGTATGTGGGAGGTAGTTAGAAGTGAAGAGTTGACTTCCTCGGTGTAGTTTCAAATAGTCTTCATGATCTTCTAGTTCATTCTCCTCTAATTATTTTTATTTTATTTTAATTTTTTTTGAGGTGAAGTCTTGCTCTATTGCCCAGGCTGGAGTGCAATGGTGCCATCTCGGCTCACTGCAACCTCCGCTTCCCGGTTCAAGCAATTATCCTGCCTTAGCCACCTGAGTAGCTGGGATTACGGGCCCAGCTAATTTTTTGTATTTCGGTAGAGACAGGGTTTCCCTGTGTTGCCCAGGCTGGTCTTGAACTCCTGAGCTCGGGCAGTCTGCCCACCTTGGCCTCTCAAAGTGGTAGGATTACAGGCATGAGCTGCCACACCCAGTGAATTTTTTTAATTTTTAATTTCTATTTATTTATTTTTTCAAGAAGGGTCTCACTCTGTTGCCCAGGCTCGAGTGCGGTGGTGCAATCTCAGCTCACTGCAACCTCTGCCTCCCGGATTCAAGTGATTCTCCTGCCTCAGCCTTCCGAGTAACTGGGATTACAGGTGTGTACCACCACGCCTGGCTGATTTTTGTATTTTTAGTAGAGATGGAGTTTCACCACGTTGGCCAGGCTTGTCTCAAACTCCTGACCTCAGATGAACTCCCGTCTCACCTTTCCAAAGTGCTGGGATTACAGGCGTGAATCATCTGCACTTAACACACGGGGCCTGACTAGAGGATCGATGCCCCGTAAAGAATTCTTGTATTGAATCAGGAGAGTGTTAAATTATTTTGGATCAATCTGTTTAAGGGCAGGCAAGGAAACATTTAATAAAAAAGATTCTTGTCTAGGCCAGGTGCGGTTGCTCATACCTATAATCCCAGCTCTTTGGGGGGCCAAGCTAGGCGGATCATTTGAGCCCAGGAGTTCAAGACCAGCCTGGGCAACATGGCAAAACTCTTTCTACAAACAAGAATACAAAAATTAGCCGGTCATAGTGACTCATGCCTGTAGCCCCAGCTGCTCGGAAGGCTGAGGTGAGAGGATCACCTGAACCCGGGGAGGTCAAGGCTGCAGTGAGCTGAGGTGGTGCCGCTGCATTCCAGCCTGGACAACAGAGGGAGACACTGTCTTAAAAAAAAAAAGAAAAGGTCTAAAAGATAACTATTAAGAATACTAAGTTTCCTGAGTTGCTATACATAGATATATACGGCTCCAGGTGGAAGCTCTGAGACATACATTTCTAGCTACCGTGTGTGGCAGGTTTGCGGAGTAAGTGTTCGTGAACACAGGTTTGTACTGAAGAGACTTCAAAGCAGCTGATGATTTATTTGAACACTTCTGGCTTGAAGGTTTAGGGGTAAAGTATCCTTAGAGTAAGCGGATAGAGAACTGCTTTGACAGTCAGTGGTAAAGTATTATTTTCTTGGAATGAATATGAACTTTGGAGCCAGAAGTCCTGTTTTAAAATCCAAATGTGTCACTTACTGGGAATGACTTAGGGCAGATCACTACTTTGCTTTCATCAGGAGTTTCTTTCACTGCCAAATGGAGGCATGATTTATTCTCTGTCTACTTAAAGGACATCTAGGAGGGTCCAGGTATATACTGTGTATAAAAGTGCTTTGTAAACTGTAAAGTATTATACAAATACTCATAATTACTATTATTTTAATAACCATGAAAATAATTTTTTTTTTAGTCATAGTAGTTGAAGTCTGAACTTCCCATAGTGTATGTATTTATAATAGAATAGGAGTTTCAGTGATTAAAAAAAAATGTGATTCTCCCTTCCAAGCCTCCTGTGTGAGTAAGGTTAACTGCTGGAAGATACAGAATTCAGATGGTACCTTGAGTCTTTCTTTCCCAGACTGGGTACAAACAAAATGAATAAGAAACTTTCAGATTTACTCTGTAGAGAATGAGGGAGATGAGGTGTAAGAGGATGTGTTTTAAGCTGTGAAAAGGTCTAAAATCAGGAAAGGTTTTCCTGAAGGTTTTTGGAAAATTAAGAATGGGTTGTAGCATTTTGGACATGGTTAAATTTCATTCAGTAAACTGAGATTTTGTTAAAATACTGTGTAGCAGTTAAGAAGTATCCAATTATTCAGGATAGATACATGTTAGTTCAAGGCTTTCTCATTAGATATTTTGATCAGTGTTGTGTAGTACTTACAGCACAGGTTTTTGTGTCAGTCTTGAGTTTTGTGTTCTGGCATTCCTCTTTACTGAGCATGTGACCTTGGGCAATTATTAAATAACCTCCATGCTTCAATTTTTTCTCTTAAAATACTCAGATGGTTTTGGCACCCACCTCATAAGGCAATTGAGTGAATTAAGTAACATACTGTGTACAAAGCACATATCATAGCTGGAGATGTAACATAGTGCTCAATAGAGGCTAACATTTCATACATTCATTTAGCAAATATATATTGTATGTATACATGGCATGAAGTGTTTTAAACATGAACTTCTTTAATTTGTATTCATAAGTGTTCTTGGTTATAAGTGACAGCTAGGCGCAGTGGCTCACGCCTATAATCCCAGCACTTTGGGAGGCCGAGGTAGGCAGATCATGAAGTCAGGAGTTCGAGACTAGCCTGGCCAACATGGTGAAACCCCATTTCTACTAAAAACACAAAAATTAGCTGGGCATGGTGGCGCATGCCTGTAGTCCCAGCTACTCGGGAGGCTGAGGCAGGAGAATCACTTGAACCCAGGAGGCGGAGGTTGCGGTGAGCCGAGATTGTGCCACTTCACTCCAGCCTGGGGACCAGAGCGAGACTCCATCTCAAAAAAAAAAAAAGGAAACCCAATTTAAGTATAATGGATTTTCTCCAGTGTTTGTAGTTGGGATAAACCAGAGGTGTGGCTCAGTCTAGGAAATCAGATGCTCCCGTTGGATGTCTGTATCAGCCTTTCCCTTTATCTCTCCCTCCCTCCACTCTCTCCTACTCACCTTACCCTATCTCTTCCTGTCCTTTCTCCTCTCCATTCCTTGTTTCTCCCTTTGGGCTGGAGGAGAGAAGCTGCTTACTTATAACTAAGTACTTGATTATTGTTGAATTATGTAATTCAAGTCTTATTTTAAAAGAATGAGCAAGTTATATGGTGCCAACTTGATCTAAGCGTGTTTAATGTTGTACATCTCCATTAAAATGTGAGCTCTGGGAGTTGGGGAGCCCCAGTATTCATTCATTCATTGTGTGGTTTAAATTTTCTTTTTTATAGAGATGGGGAATTGCTGGGTTGCCCAGGCTGGCTGTGAACTTCTGGGTTCAAGTGATCGTCCCGTGTCTGCCTCCCAAAGTGCTGGGATTATAGGCATGAGCCACCGTGCCTGGCCCCACCAGTCCTTTAACTAGCATGTCTCTAGTGCCTGGCACAGCATTTGGCATGAGCCTGGCACTTGGTAGATACTCAGTAAACATCTGCTCAGTGAACAATCTTACTGAAGGAACTCTTTATTTGAAGATCAAAAAACAAAAAAAAATCTAAGAACATTAGGGATTAGGCAGCTTGATAGTATTTAATGATACATTGAATTAACAGCCCATGGTAATAAGTCATACTGGTTAATTTTTCTGTTTAGTAACTTTAGACCTAGTAATATGTTCTAATTTCAAATGTTAAGACTTACTGGGTGGTGTAAAGCTGCATTATTTTGCTATTTTTTGTAGAAAAAATACTCTTAGAATTAACCATGGTTCATTTTGGTTTTAATTGCTTTTTCTAGAGAAATTTGTCCTTTACATAAGAAAATACTTTTATAAATACTCTTAAGTTGAAGTAATAAAATTAGCTGCATAGGTTATTGATTAGTTTTAGGCATGTCTCTGTGTGTGTCTGTGTGTGTGTGTGTGTGTGTATATATGTGTGTGTTGAGACAGAGTCTC